CATGAAGTAATCCACTTTTTTCGAGGGGGAAGCTCCGGGGTGGGTGTAAAAGTTTAAGCGAAATGGTTCACGCACCCCGGGGATTCCTCCCTTGCAAAAATTGGAATTTCTGTAGCCGGCAAGAACTGTCACACCACATGCCCCCCCCCTTACTGGATGAGACCCTAGAATTTTATTAGGCTTTTATATTTATTCACGGGTTATCGTGCACTAATCACCAACCGATAATTGCTGTATTAAAACTTTTCTTTACGATTTCGCCCTTTAGTAAAAGATATAGAGAACAATTGTTCATGAAGATTGTCCAGTAATACCTTCATTTTCAGTTGGTTTTCCTCGCTACAGGCGTATCTACTTCAACGACGTTGACGCGATTATGCGCAGAGGACGCAGTCCCGAAGAAGCCGTCAGGTTAGCTTTGATCTTCTGAGCTCTACTGTATTGAGCATTTTTCTGCTATATTTAAGAGATAAAAATATGTGCTTTACCCACACGAACTCCCTCGTTATTCAGCTATTTATTTATATACTATTTTTCTCATATTTTCGAATCAAAACAAAATCTTCCAACAAAAAACTCGCGTTTTCTATGCAAACTATCCAATATTAATTTTTCCCATCTGGCTGGTATTGCTCAATAATTCTTTTACATAACATTCATTGCACATTCATAACAAACTTATTGTTGATTTCCTTAATCATGAGAATTGCTTCATTTGATATCAATAATTATATTGAACCATTAGTGAAAGTAAGTACCCTTCGTATCTAACGGCTATGAGAGTCTGCACTACAGACTTCACAACCCAAGTGACGACGTCCTCCAATCTGATTAATAGTAATTCCCAGTGAAGGGTGGTAATTCATAAGTGATGGTTGTAATTAGTGACAGCTGATGAAACACAACTGCAATCGACCAATCACTCCTTTGGCAGGAAACAACTACACTTTGTGGAGGATGCCGTCACTTGTGTTGTGAAGTCTGCACTGAACACGTGTCGTCAGGTGTAAACGTTGGAATATGGA